GAGCGATTGAACTCCGATTTCGTGAGAAACGATGCGATGAAATGCTTGAAGTCCAATTTCGGCGAGCTGAGAGCTGGATCGGCGGTTGTTGTTAATTTCGGGAGGAGGAGACGTGTGCATGCAAAGTTGAAAATTGAAAGAAAATGCACAAAATGCATGCACGATGGATGATGCTTCAAGACTCGGCCAACTCGCCCACCTCTCTTTTGCTTACTAATTCTTTTCTTCAAATTAAAGAAAAAACAAAAAAAAAAATATATATATATATCCGAATTACTAACGTGGTTTAGGTCGGGTTGATCGGACAGTGAGTCCGTTCTTTAAATCGAGTTAATCGGACAGTGAGCTTGTTCTTTTGCATCAAATTTGAGCAAATATATTCTTTTCAATTATATTAATTTAGGCTATTTAGGCTATTTAACCTATCACTTGTATCAAAATATATTTACGAATTTAAATTTCATAGAAGGAAAAAAAATCAAATAAATAAAAGACTTCGGAGAAAATTAAAATACCCGTGAAATAGACGGCGGCAGGATAGCACCGTAAAATGCGCCACTACGGAGCAGTTCTGTCCAATCGCCTATTTCGCATGCAATAAAGAATCAGTTAGGCGAATTTACGGAAAGCTCACTCTCGTGCTACTTATTTACGGTTCTGCCGTGAAGCTGAGGTCGTGTGCTGCGGAGGCCTGCGGATCTTTGGTCTTCACGGAGTCTCCGCACCGTCAAAGCGCTTGGAATTGCACGATGGAAATGGTCGAATGAATCGAAGCCGTGGGATTGTTTTTGGATTTATGACGTCATAATAGTGGGTGGTGATGTTAGGTGGCCTGGGAATGTGGGCACCTACCGAGGGGTGAAAGAGAAAGGGCAACGCACGCCCTTGCTGAAGACAGAAGGGTGGAGCCCACAGAATTGTGAAACGGAAGACATGGCAGGTTGGCTTGCTTTGCTGCTGCACGTGTTGGGGATGTCACATTGGTTTGGACTTATGAAAAGACAAAAGAGTGGGACGGTGTATAGGAGTTGGACTGTTGGAGTACTTAATCTTATATGTTATGATTAATACCATGAATTATTAACACGTAATTGCATCATTAGAAAAGAATACGAGACTAATCAACAACCACCACCATTAATATGTATTGGTTGATGAGATTTTCTTTTTCTACGAAAGGATGGCTATGGGGCACAAAGTGACTATCAGCTGGGAATGCATTATAAACCAAAACTATAAATAAACATGATACTAATAAACAAAAATTAATTAATATTAATTGGTGGTTATCTTTCTCTATGGAGAATTGTCAAGTACAGTCACTCTCACTTACCAATGCTGCTATATATTTTAAAAGTGAAGAATATAACAATTCAAAAAGCATACGTTTTTATTTTTTCAGTTTAAGACAATAAAGTTAAATTGTGATGACGATTGTCAGTTGATAGTCCATGAGAATTACAATCACGCATGCAAAACCTTTACCTAGAAAAATTAGAAAAACTTCTTCAAAAAGCCAAATTAGTGAGGAATGTAAGATAAAATAAAGTATATATACATGTTACATGCAAGATCTCATTAAAAAAGAGACAAAATATCATAAGTTCAAGTTCATCCAATTTATAAGATTAACTAGTGTAGTGGTTTGAAGTAATTGCTCCCTCATGGAAGGTTTTGGGTTCGAGTCTTAGCATCCATATCGGGTGTGAGCGTTTAGTATATTATCGCTCATTTCAATAAGAAATGTCCTAAAAAAAAAGAATTTGGGAGATTCAAGCCCTTAAGACCTGGGCACAAAGGAGGCCCAATGGGCACATCATGGACCAAGGAAAACTAGCGAAGAGAGGGAAAGTGAGGCCCAAGCCCAATACAAGGCGCGAAGCAAAAGACTCAGACACCATAGTCCTTATCTAAGGAAAAAACTCAGGCGCATTGTGATGGCCCTCTAAATTTCCGGGAAAACACACACAAATACTAAGAAAATCCCACCCCTTGGCTTTCTCAAACCAGCCATAGCCATGGCGGGAATGGCAACATCCTTCAATTTCTCATCAGCTTCCTCCATCCTTAGCCGTCCATCACAGCTATCATCACTTTCATTCTCATCCAAGCCGTTCTTTCTGCCAATGCGGAGTTCTGCCCGAACGCCCCTACGTCTCAGATGTCCCAGTAAGCTCATTTGACTCTCGCAGTCTTTGATTTTTCTTCTTTTACGGATTTAAATTCATAAAGTTTTGGTTTTTGGGTTAGTGAAGTGATGTTGGGTTGTGAAAATTTCAGGGATAATGGCGTTTTCTAGCAACGATATCAAAGTGGGTTCCAACATTGAAGTTGATGGAGCTCCTTGGCGAGTTATAGGTACTTTTATCTTCTTCTTCCTCCTCATTTGTTTTTTTGTATTCGTTTTAGTTTAAGCCGAAAAATGTTGACTTTTTGGTTCTTGGGTATATTGCATATTGAGTTTTTCTGGTATATTGTTCACATTAAATAGAAATCTTCATTTCTGGGACCCCTGTCTCTGTATCATATTATATCTAATTGCTGAAGCTATAATTTTTATTGTTTTTATAACTACTATTTTTAGTATTACTCACATGACATTTGTGTTTCTTTGCTGGTAATCTTACGGTAGATGTACTCTAGGGAGCCTGTATCTTTAGGTTGGTTTATGAGGCTCACATTGGAGATTTGGAATTTCATGGTATCATGATGTGTATGTGTAATTAGAAAAAATCAAAAGCCTTTTGAACACTATGATGCTAATTTGAGACTTTTGGTATGTCAAAGAGTTTCTAGGGATGTTTAAGTTGGTTATAGGTGTACCCCATTGTAATCTGCCTCTATATCTGAGTTGTCTTGTTTTCATATGTTCTAATATTCCCAGGAGGAATCTTTTCATTTGGTCAGGCAAACAATTATTTTATTTGTATAAGTCATAAGTCATAAGTCAATGGAAGCTTATTTTCAGTCTATCTGTTGGCCTTCTGTAGAATTTCTTCATGTGAAACCTGGGAAAGGGGCTGCATTTGTAAGGACCAAGATGCGCAATTATATATCGGGAAACACTGTTGAGAAAACATTTCGAGCAGGCAGCACGGTAATGTTCATTGATTCCATTGATCCATCATTAATTTCTGTTTTCAAATGTATATAAAGTTTAATGCAATTGTTAGTTGCTAACAAGTAAACAAGTCAACTGAATATGTAGCATATGACATAATTTATTTAGTTTTTGATGGTTTTCTGTGTTTCTAAGAAAAGATACTCCATCTGGATTATTTTTCACAAACCTTGTTAAGGAATGAGTCATATATTTATACAAATATCTTGTATCCAAGGTATGCTTCAAAATGTTATGTTGTAAGTATTATGTTCATAATGCCACCAGACCTCCTCCCCAGGCTGAGGTTGTCACCTTTCGGTGAATCTTTCTGTGAGACCAGATATGTTATGTATATTCATGTTACATGACACAAATTTTTCAACAATAGATATCATCAACAGATACCAAGTGCAATGGTCAGTCATGTTTAGATGTCTGTACAGTACAGTGACATATATACATTCTCATGTTTGATTGTTTTTCCAGATTAATGAGGCAAATATATACAAGGAAACAAAGCAATTCACATACAAAGACGGTCCCCAGTTTGTCTTCATGGACCTGGTATTCTTCAGTAGAGTTTTTACTTGCAAAATTAAAATATGATATTCATTCGTATGAAGTTATGGACTATAAGTTATTCACTTTAGCCTTTAGGACACCTGGGATCTATTCCTGTTCTCAGGGAAACTAGCTGATGCTGTTATCTTTATAAGATAGTGATCGCTATCTTTATTTTTCTATCTCAAATAGGTTTTTTCTTTCACTTGTCTCAGACTACCTATGAAGAAACTCGTGTAAATGAATCAAGTATTGGGGACAAAACAAAATGGCTGAAGGAGGGAATGGACTGCAATTTGCTTCTTTGGAATGATAGAGTACTTTCCTTATTCTCTTTTAAGCAATCCATTTTTCTCAAGCAATTAAATTCCCACTTTTTGCTGCAAAGTTCATTATGCGCATGATCAATTGTGCCCAAGATGGTTCTTTTTATCCAAGGATAATTGTCCCAGACGGAGCTCTTGGGCACTACCTAAAGAAGAACACAGAGCAGTCTCTCGAGCAATGTTTTGATAGTCATTGACTTTTTATGTTAGTACGTCTTAGATTCATGGTGAGATGCATATATTTGTTTGTGTGAGTGGCATCAACAAAGAAAACATAGATAATGGTGGTGGTTTGTATTATTACTATGGCCTTTTGAAAAGTAATCTGCTTTTTGTGGTTTACTTGTAGCTTATCGATGTTGACATCCCCATCACAGTGAAACTGACTGTGGTTGATGTTGATCCTGGACTTAAAGGTGACACAGCTCAAGGTAATGCAGTTTGTGTCTCTCACAATTTTCAAGGACCAAATTTAGTATGTTATTGGTGTAAATACCCATCAGTCCATGACTTGTTTGGGGACCTGAAGGCTGGTAAGATGCCAGCAGACAAAAATGCTATTACAAGGTTAGGCTGAGTAGATGAGCTGATTAATCAGCTCTCAGGTGCAGAATGGGCGCCTGATTGATTTCTTGGGTTTTAGAAGTGATAAACTCCTGTCTATAACTAAACGTCGCAGTTCTTTGTTATCAACAATCAAAGAGGCAACATCTTCTAACTGAACTTTGCTCGCAGGTGGATCAAAGCCAGCGACTCTCGACACCGGTGCTATTGTCAACGTCCCACTCTTTGTAAATATAAGTGATGAAATAATGGTGGATACCAGAACCGGGCAATACATGAATCGTGCATAAGTTTTGACTCAGAGATTTCTCAACACCGGCCAATAAAATTTTGTATTGTATTTTTGTTTACCAGGCAGAAACTTTATTAAATTTGATGCTAGAGCATACATATGTTATATCTGTACATCAAGTTAGTGGAAGGTTTGTAAACCTTTAAACTCCTGATGTAAGTGACTGGCTTATTTGAAAAAAGAAAATAGCTTATATGAAGGCTGAGGATGAGCAATTTTTTTGTCATTGTTGAGGTTTTGTATTAGGAATTACACCTCTCTTCAATGCCGTGCCATATACAATATAAGCGCCAAGGAAACACCCCCGCCGATTCAATTCATGAATCAAAGGGTTATAAGATATTCCACTGGTTCCTCTACCAACTTCATACATGATGCTCAATACTAACAGTGCCTCAGTCACCTTTCCCTCAACACAAAGGGTTTTAATTACATTGTTAAAGGTGATAATCCATGGTGAATAGCCCATTCCAATCATCTGCTGCAAACAGACCACAGCTGCATCCGTCTTCTTTTCCATGCAAAGAGTTTGGATCATCAAGCCATATGTACTAGCGTCTATGCCCAAAACCCCATTCTGCATTTTCTCAAACACTTCATGTGCATCTTCCAAGAGGTCTTTTTCCTTCCTCGATCTCCTACATAACCCTCTAACAAGATTGTTCATCAATCTCCCATCTACTTCAAACCCATTTTCAACCATCTCCCTATAAACCCTAAGAGCATTACGAGTTTTACCCCATTTCAACAATCCATGCAACAAAGTGCTGTAAGTAATACAATCAGGGTTGCAGTTTCTCTCTTTCATCTGCTTTAACACATTAAGTCCCTCCATTGGCCTGCCTTCCTTGCAATACCCATTAAACAGAGTGTTGAAAGTGACCGCATCTGGTGTCAACCCCATTTCCACAGCTTCATCAAGCAATTCCATTGCCTCATCTGAGCGACCCACTTTACAAAAACCATCCATAACAGCTGTGAATGTGTAAATGTCAGGTTTTATGGCATCTTTTTTTATTCTCATCAACATTTCATATGCATCCTCCACCCTCCCAACATAGCACAACCCCTTCAACAAGCAATTGTATATCTGAACGGTTGGCTTGCACCCAATTCTACCCATGACCTCCAAAACCTCCAAAGCTCTCTGCAACCTACCTCTTTTGCACAATGAATTTATCAGAACAGTGATTGTTGCAGCATTAGGGTAAAACCCATTTTCAACCATATGGACTAAAACCCTTTTGGCTTCATCCAGATCATTTTTCTCGCAATAACACCTTATCATGATGGAAAATGTCAAAGAATCTGGCACTAACCCGGAAGCTGGTACTTCATTAAACAGGCTCAAAGCAATGCCAGGCTCTTTTGCTATGACTAAAGCCATGAGCAGAGCATTGAATTCAGATACGGTCTGAAAGCAACCATCTTGTTCAAAGATACCAAGAATTACACTCGTCTCTCTAAAGGGCAAAGCTTTAATTCTATCAATAAATCTCTGTACCTGCAATCTACTAGCTATGCTATCAAAACCCAGCTTTTGTTCTTCGACACTGGACTGCAAGTCATAATCTTTTGGGTATGACTGGTGGGTTTTGTCAGCAAGATTGACAACATTCAATGGTGTGGTTCCCGTGGGATTTGTAGCAGAGCATGAAAGTGCTACAAAGACAAGTAGCTTACCATGTTGGGTTCTTTTGTTGTGAGTTCTACATAAAGGAGATGGACATGGAGAGGGAGACTGAACAAGTGTGAAGGGTGTAGGATATGAAGAAGGCATCAGGGTGAGGTCCATGGATAATCTGTGGAGTTCTATCCAGCTTGGTACAGAGAAAAAAAAAATCTTTGATTAGATTTTGGGTAAAACGATAACAAATACAGTGTCGTCCGTAGGGGGCAAGGCAGGCACTTTAACGACATCAGCCTACAGCTTTTAAATTTTCCTTTTGGGATTTGTCTACAATACTAACGCGGTTGTAACCATTAGATTGAGGGATTCACCATTCTCTAATAGGGAAGTCGTTGGATTGGATTGTGTTCGTGTTCAATGCGAATTGACACTGTCCATTTTGTGTAGGGAGGGTGCAGTGTATGTGTATTCATGATCTGTAAAATGTGCATACAAGCACTTACAAAAGGAATTAAAAACATAGAACGAAACAAAAGTAAATAAATATTACTAACTATTTCTCAAATGTTGTGCAAACTTCAAACGCGCATAGATCTACTGAATGTCTTCCAAAACCTGGGGTCTTTTGCATCTGGGATTTCCTTCTTTTTTGCAGTCATTCTGCTTAGAATGGGCTTGATCATCTTCTTCAGAACCTTGCTGAAGCCTGAGCCACGCCTTTTCTTGGTAACCAAAGGTGGTGGTGGTGGTGGTTCTGACTCTGATGGAGCCTGACAGATTAAAAGAGGTTGCTGGGACCGAATTTGGGTTGGCTCAGAGAGACTCCGCCTCAGCATGGCTTGGTTCAGCTGCAACTCAACAGTGAGCCTCTCAAAATGGTCAAGCAGAGAGCTTTTGTCATCCCCAAACGTCCTCAAGATCACTTGCTTATTCACTTCTGCTTGGCCCATTGCCTTCTTTGTCTTCACCATTTGCATTGTGCCATTGCCTCACATGTTTATATCAAACAGAGGCTTAAAGGGTTGAATGTTTCCTTTTTCAATGTGGCTTGAGCTAAGACTGAGAAGCCAAGCTGATGGATGATGAACAAATTAAGGAAGCAAGGAATATATATCACCAACATGGAAACTGAAAAGACTATGTAATCTCGACAGGTTTCATAGAATTGAATGGAGATATTGGTTTTTGCAATTATCATATAGCACATTAATCGAGGAAACAATTGTGTATTACACTACTGTCAAATAAAGATTTGCTATGATAGGTTAATTAGTTCGAACTTGAAATCTCTTTCAATTTTGGGAAGGGAGATATCGAGATACTGTTAAAACTAAATAATATTATGTTAAAATTTAAATCTATTATAAGAAGCAACTCTAGAAAGTTAAAACCATGTAAGAAGAAGACTGCGATTGAATACTTAAGCCAAAGCCGTGAGTTTAGCAGCCAAACTGGAGTCTGGATACACTTTATTCTTTCTTGCATGAAAGGAATTATGTTTTATTCCATATTTATATCAGCAGTACTCTTTTTCAGTGCTGAAGGCTTAATTAGCACAAAAGTAATTAAGATTCATCTGCATTTGCTTTTTTTCTTTGTTTGTGTTCTTCTAGAGATTATATTCTAACTAGTAAAAGTCATCTTCAATGTGGCTAGATTTGCTTTGAATTGTACTAAATCATACTTCTGGGAGGAAGGGCTAGTTGGCTTACCTCGTACCTTCAGGATGATGTTGCAAAGTTACAAAGTCCTTGTGAATTGGATGACTTGTGCCACATGGAATGTGCCTAGGCAGTAAAACTTTCCTTCTTCACAATTTAGTAGAGTTTTTGCTAGAGGGTTAACATCGACGTGCACATGAGTGACTGTCGGCCGTCAATGATTACTGTGAAGTTCACATCCATGATGGTTAACAGTCATCCACACACCATGGCTGAGCGGCTCTCCTTGTGATTATAAATTTAGTTTCAAATAAATGATGTATCCAATATACAGAGTTTACAAACCAGCTTTCCAGGTGAAGGCCGTCATTTCTCCAAAGTTCAATACTAGGACTTGGCCCAAAATGATATCCATACAAAGATGGCCCATGCATCCATGCACACCGTTTTGATAGGTTTTTTTTAATTTAATTTATTTATTTAATGATTTTTAATTTGGGAAAATAAGATCGTACCAGTAGTACTAGTAATTGGCTACGTGTTCCCACTGTCCGATTGATGTCTGGACTCTGTGTAGAGCTGACTTCTATAGCAACCTAGCGTCAAATCTCTGAAGATCACAGATTCCAATCTAAAACCCTAGATTATCTCAATTCAATCCTAAACCCTCAAATCCCAATCCTTCCACGATTCCAATTCACTTGAAACTTCTAACCCATCTCTCCGTTTCCAGCCCATTGAAGACCCAATTGCGCAGATTTCATCTTAATGTATAAAGGCTGCAACTTTATCCACAAAATGGGATTAATTGCTAGGGTTTTGGTCATTGAAGACCCAATTGCGCAGATTTCATCTTAATGTATAAAGGCTGCAACTTTATCCACAAAATGGGATTAATTGCTAGGGTTTTGGCGTGGAGAACCTAAATCCGATCTGAAAAGGAGCGTCGAAGTCTCAATTCAATGGATAGAAATGGTTTTCTGACAGTGTTCTTATTTATCTTCATTGTTGCGGAGGCTTCCAATGCTTCTTTGCTCTCCAAGCATAGAATTTTGATTGGTGAGCCTCAAAAAGACAATTCGACAGTACCAGTAACTCTCTTTTCCCTCTCTTAGAGTCTAAATTACTTGTTTTTAGGTCAAAAATCGGTTTGGTTTATTTATTTTCATAAATTTTAGGGCAAGGATTCTCCGGTGCCAAGTCCTCCTCCGCCTCCTCCGTCTCCTACCCCTCCAGTTTCAAGTTCTGGTGGCAAGAGGTCGGTTCCTAAGGCGGATGATGATCCAAGTAAAAACAAAACGGACTCTCTGCCACCCGCCAAGACTCCGAAAGCGGATCCAGGTCCAAGGGGTTTGAATAATAATACTAAAACGGATGAAGGGAAGGATCCGAATAAAGAAAAGAAGGATCCAAATCCGACGCCTCACAAGGAATCCAAAGAGGATCCAAACCCGGTTCCTGCTACGACACCGAAACAGGATCCGAATTCAAAGCCGTTGAAAGATGAACCGAATTCGGCGAGTGCACCTCCTGAAGGTGGTAAGGTAAAGAATAAGGAGGACTCCCCTGAAGGTGGTAAGGTAAAGAGTAAGGAGAAGAAGGAGAAGAACGATAATGTGAACAATTCGCAGAATGCGGATAAGGAAAGCTGCTATGGGATAATCAAAACATGCGAGGTCAAGGATGTGGCGGTTGCTTGCATTAAGAGCTTTGATAGTGGTAATTCACATAACTGTTGATAGTGCATTGAGGTTGAAAAGTTGTGTTTGTTTAGAGTGATTATGTGAAAAATGTTTTTACAAAATTAGGATGCTGAGATTGAATTAAAACATTTTTTATTTTTTTTGGGCATTGTGTTTTGCTTGATTGCATGCATACTACATTGGAATGCCTGATGACAATTTTCGTGGTGTGCATTTGTGCTATCGCTAGAACTGATATTAGGTTGTCATTAGTATCAATGGTATGACTTATGCATTTGGTGTTTAGACTTATTCATTACAAGTTATATATGTATAATTGCATAGAAACTTGGTTTGTTCTCGTGATAGTAAGGCTTTTCCTCTTGGTAATTAAGTTTATAAGCATGTATATGACACGTCAAAATAAAACATGGACACATCTACAATTTGGATTGGTAGATGAATGCCCTTGAGTTGTAGGCCTCTACGTTCATAAGAATAGTTTGACATTATCTGAGGATTTTCTCTTGGATATAGGTAAAATTTATAAAACGTATTAACCAAAAAGTAAATGCTTAAAGGCGGCCAGCTGTGCCAATTACTTCTCAGAATTGCTTTGATGTCATAGTCACATCTCCTGCAATCTTGCAGACAGTTTCTGGAACATACATAATGAACACAATTGCTGATTTTGCTTAAATTCTGGCTAATGTAGTTTGATGATTATGAAGAGCAGTATTAGACTCAACTTCATTAGTGTCTAAGATTAAGATGATCATAAGCTATGCATATTTTGTGATCGAGATGTTCTCTGTGGTTTACATGAGTAAGTGGAGATGTTAAATTGCGTTATGTGCCTAGTGAAATTACATCCAGTATCCACTGCTTCACTATACATTTTGTTTATTAAAGCAGTGAATGCAGAGTGCTTAACATAAATCAATACCATTTGACCTCATAATAAAATCACTCATTTTATTTTCCTTTCCCATGTTGCAGGGTCTAAAGAAGTGGTCATTCTGGTCCAAAACGTTGGAGACAGCACTTTGAAGGCAAAGGTTTCTGCAGAAAATACCAAGATGGACCTAGAGATTGCCAAACACCAAAATAAGAAGGTAAAGTTGATAGGAAATTCTACTACAATGTGCATAGCATAAGCATAGAAGCTTTTCAGTGCTGGATGACGAATGCTGTCCAGTGGTGAAATTGCAATGCTCACAGGAGAGTTCCTCATCATAACTCTGCTACTTTGTTGTTGTTTTCCTGATTGGTTGTTTTCGGTAGTGATTAGAAGTTATAGCTTTTTATATCTTAAAAAAAGGGCATTGTTGGCATGATTAATAAGAGTCCATTTGGTAGGCTGTTTTTTGGCAAAAGAAAATTAAAGCGAGAGTTGAGAGAGAAGAAATGAAACATAGAATGGCTTTCTAAAATGAAAACTAAAAACTATTTTAGATGGTTTTTAGTTTTAATTCTCTTCTCCCCCCCTGGACAATAAAAAAAGTATATTCCCCCTCTCTTCACCTCTCTCATCTCTCTTCTTCCTCCTCTCTGTCTTTCTCCCCTCGAAAATGTTGGGAATATAGTAGAAATTAAAATCATGGCTGAGATATGCAGAAGGGAGGAGGAAGGTGTATGAGAAGGGACATTGAATCTTCCCTACTGCTGTTTCGTGTAGAACTGAGATGTTGAAAGGACCTTGTTTGTGTCTAAAACACCCAGCTGAATTTGTAATTCAGTGCAAAAGACTTGTCATTGGATGCATAACCTTACTACAATGTGTTAACCTGCTTCCTATGGGGGCTCATTATTTGCTGGCATGGATGAACCATGAAATTATACTTGTGGTTTTCTGTTACTGTTTTGTGGGGCTTACATTTGCATTTTTCTAAAAGCAAAATCGCAATGTTTATTTGTTTGCCTTTTCAGGTCAATATATCACTTGATATTGATAGAAGCACCAAAATAACTCTAAATACTGGAAACAGAGAATGTGAGATTCATATGGACCCTCCAGTATCTGATGGAAATTTTTTCCTGCGTCTTCCTTCTTATGAGAAGGTAGTGACCCCAATCAATGGTGCTTACTTCTTGATTGTTACAGTGCTAATATTTGGAGGGACATGGGCTTTCTGCAAGGCTAGGAAGAGGAAACAGCGTACTGGAGGTGGAGTTCCATATCAGGAACTTGAAATGGGATTGCCAGAATCTGTTTCCGCAACTGCTGTAGAAACGGCTGAAGGCTGGGATCAGGGTTGGGATGATGATTGGGATGGAGATAATGCAGTGAAGTCACCGGGGGCGCATCTTGTGGGAAGCATCTCGGCGAATGGCCTTACTTCTAGGTCTGCAAACAAAGATGGGTGGGAAAATGACTGGGATGATTAGTTAGTTTAAAACAGCCAAAAAGGGGCCCAGAATAGAGTTTGCCCAAAAAGATGGAGGAAGAGAAAATGGGAAAGAAGATAAAGAAGGATTGGGTACACAACAAATAGGAAAATCTGAGATACAAAATGAAACCATTTTCGACTAGTGGTTTTTGTGTAATAGGGAGATCCCATAAAATAGGTCTGTATAAGTCATTCATTTTTACTGTAATTGCAAGAGGTAATATATTTTTGGCCGAACTACACTCTTTGCTCCACTTGGTTCGATTTCTTCAATTCAAATTGCACAATGTTAACCTTGCAATATTTTTTTCTTAATTGTACTTCTTATCCTTTCTTAGAATTCTGTAAACTAGTACATTACTAAGACAAAGAACATTTACATAAGTAGCATGTGATCACCGAGCCCCTTATTAGCAGTGACTCTTTCTTATTAGCTAATAGCAATTCAAAAAATGAAGTTCAGCTAGGAAACTCCATGTGAAATGGAGACTCTGTTCAAGTTATACTGGGACCTTTTTCGAGGATCAACAAAATAAAAGATCATATTACACAATGAAAGTTCAAAGTAGGCATTGTTCAAGTTGAAGTAAAACCAACTCAGGCAACTTCTTGTAAGATAAGCACCAAAGCTTTGCGTTATATCATACCTCCTCTGCCTGCAATGCTCCAAATTTGTGCACTGTGAGAAGCAAAATATTAACAGTAACAGAGGACTAAAAACAAGTTGTATGGAGGTAGGTAGCTCCAAAAACCCAATTGAAAATGCGTTGCCTTTGCATTTTGCTTCCCATGTTCAGGTTGGTAAATTTTGTACTGCGCCCCAAACTGGGACCCAACATGAGAAACAAAAGGCATTGGTGGTGCCTGTCACTCAATTTGAAATAAAAACACCGCACAGCATACAGATATGGTATGTTTTTCACCTTTTTGTTAGCAGGTCAGGTCCCATGAAAATGGTGTCAGATCACAGACGTCCCTATCCAAACCAAAGTTACCAATTTGTAGCGCATGCATACTTTTATTTCACTGTAAATCATAGATTCTAGCACAGTTTCAATGTAAATCACACATTCTCTGGAACCCAAGTACACCGCTGCATTATTTTATATTTCTGAGTCACAGTGCACTAAAGATGAGATAGCATATAAAAGTATACACAAATCAACTTACTTGGGAGACATTGATTCTGTGTAAATACAGTGTTTTTTTTATTTAACTAAAAGAATTGCTTGTGTCCTGTTGGCCCCGACAAGACTTCTTCAAAATGGCCTCACCGTTGAGGTCCTTAGTGGAAGCGTGGTGGGTCTATGTATCATTCTGTTTCTCGTTAAAAAGCAGACAAAATAATCAAAGGCAAAAACTTTCTGGTCCTAAAATGCATCGATTTCCAAGGTGGTCTTTTTTTTCTGAGTCTCCACCTTAATCAACTGGTTCAGATTTGGTTGGTTCGTATGTACATGTTGCGTGACTATAAATCAAAAAACTCTTTTATTGTATCAACTGGTTCAGATTTGGTTGGTTGGTTCGTATGTACATGTTGCGTAACTAGAAATCAAAAAGCTCTTTTATTGTAATTTGCAGGACATGGCATGATTGCCATGCACTGCATTATAATCACTGTTGGAAAAAGCTTTGTAAGTGGCTTTGAGGAGCTCCATGTGAGGTGCTTTGATGATGTCCACGGCCGTTTGATTAGGTTCCCCTCGGGTCCAGAACCCTTTGATTAAACAAAGCTTCACATCTAAGGGATTAATTATTGACCATACTTGCAGGAAGAAACAGAGCTTTTGGAATTATGATAAAGAACACACTTGTGTTGATTATTAGGGTCAGTGGAGTACGCATAAATATGCACATGATGGTGTTTGATTTTAAATGCCAAAGTTATTATTATCCATGTTTCGCCTAATGTGCAAGATATTCTTTAACTCAAGTAAAACTTATTGAAATTAAGCAGAGTTGTAGTATAAATAAAGCAACATGGCATGGGCAACAGAAAAGTGTAACTAAAGCAAGAGGGTGTTGCTCTTTTAGACATTACTTATATTCTAATCTTACTTATATTATTGTTATTGTATTCTCTTCTCTTGTTTGAGGCTCTATTTGGCCTTTGAATTGAACCCTTGAGGCATTACTTAGGATCTCGCATACAGTATCGAGGTGTTATGAGTTTCGAACATGAGAACATTGATATGCAAATTAAGACCCTTTTTCACGGAGTTGCAAGCAATATTTTAATCTTACTACTATTATTGTTATTGTATTCTCTTCTCTTGTTTGAGGCTCTATTTGGCCTTTGAATTGAACCCTTGAGGCATTACTTAGGATCAGAGTTAGGTGAACTAGCATCAAGTGCATTGGGGTTATTAATATTTGTATTGAATCTTAAGATTTTGAGAGTCGTTGTGGGGTATACTGAGAGATCTTGAATCTAAACACCATTCAAATTGTCCCATTTCAAACCGGTGAAAAGCAATCCGGCACCATACAAGTGCTATAGAATTCAACAGGCAAAAAAGTACAGACAAAAATACAATACTCTTAAAAGGATTGAAAGACATGGAAATAGACCTCCAACACTATATTCTTTTTTTCTTTTGCTTGAACCAAACCGGATTGTTCTTCACCGGAACATACGAACCTGTTACTTTTCTTAATCTGTAAACTAAATTTATTCTAATTCCTCTTGGACTTCTGAAGGGCATTGGATGAGTTCTAAAATGTTGATTACTTCATTCATGTCTGGGCGATTCGATGGCACTTGAGATGCACATATCAAACCCAGCTTGACCACTGGAATTGCCTCATCAGCTGGAAAATTCCCCAGGAGCTTTTGGTCAAGGCATTCCTCTACCCTGCCTTCCTCCAGTGCTCCCCTCACCATGTCACAAAGTACCACCACATCATCCTCCATATATTCCACAGGCCGCTTCCCTGTCACCACCTCCAAAACCAAGATTCCGAACCCATACACATCACATTTCTCGGTAATCTTAACCGTTTGACATGCAAACTCAGGCGCCATGTAGCCAAGTGCACTTTGGATTTTGCTGCTTAAGATGCACCGGTCTAACGTTGGCAACAGCCTTGCCAGGCCAAAGTCTCCTACCTTTGGAGCACCAGAGCTGTCTATCAAAACGTTAGTTGATTTCAAATTGTAGTGAATTATGTTTATTTGGTGCAAATGAGCCAAACCCTTTGCCATCCCTAGAATTATGTTGAACCTCTGTCGCCAAGTGAGGCAGCTTTTTCCAAGTCCATCATGCAGATTCTTATACAGACTCCCGCAAGGTATATACTCGTATATGAGGAGCTGCAACGATGGAGTCCAGTAATATCCTTCAAGTGCCACAAGATTATGGTGCTTGATCTTTCCAAGTCCTTTAACTTCCCTCTCAAAATCTTCTTGGGACTTGATCAAACTTGAGACTGTTAGCTTTTTTATTGCAACTGAACGCCCATCTCTAAGGACTGTTCTGTACACTACTCCAAACCCACCACGACCAAGTTCACAGTCCTTGTTGAGCAAGGCTTGGGTCCCGGCACCAAAGTCAGCATCACCAGAAAACATGACAAGCTTGCCGTAGTTTGGATCAGTAGTAGGGGAACAACTATAATCTTCCCCACCAGATAACTCGAGAGGAGCAGCAGAACGTGAAACTGAAGACCGCGCATGGATATTGAGGACAGTAACAGCTATGACACCAATGGCAATGAATGCAGCTGCGCCTATAGCAATGAGAGCTGATATGCTGAATATGATCTTGTGACCATGAGTTGGTGAGGAAGAACTGCCAATGGGGTTGGAAGAATTTGGGTTGAGGACAATGGGTTTGGGGTGGACGGAAGTGCAGGAACGGTTAACAACAGATCCGCATAGGGATGGATTGCCCGAGACAGATGAGGGTGAGATAGTGTTGAAGAAGCCCCCTAAGGGTAGGTCACCCTGAAGGTGGTTATGGGAGACATTGAAGTAGAGGAGGTGGGAAAGATTTGTCAGCTCTTTTGGTAAGCTTCCAGAGAATTTGTTTAAAGACAAGTCTACATATTGAAGATTGGTAAGGTTTGCAATGGCTGCAGGAATAGGTCCAGTTAGGTTGTTCTGGGACAGCATCCTGTATAATTGGAGCACATGAAAGAAAAACAATTCAGAACAATGTAAGCTTCATATCATATAATTGTAAATGAATTAATATAAAAACAACACTGCTATTATATATACTACCAAAACAAACGAAAAAATGAATGGGTTGACCAAGTTAATATTATTTATGTCCAAGAAATTACTGGAGTGTGCTAAATGATAACTGATCGAAAGATTTTAATTTCATCAATCAAAATGGATCTTGCCCACCCTTGTTCAATCAAAATGCCATTATACACTTGATGAAAAAAACACATTGGAAAAACAGCTTCAGTTTAGCTACCTCAAGTTATAAATTTAATTAGAAAAATTAAGAACTTTCTAATGTAATTAAGTCAGATGTTGGCTTTCTATTTGTTGTAAATCGTATGTAAAGGAAGAGAACTACTAAAGGAGATAAACAGAATAAGAAAGCTTACAGAGATGTTAGAGATGAGCACTTCTCAATCTGAGATGGAATTTTCCCAGTTAGAAAGTTCTTCTGCAGCCTTAGTTCCTTGAGTGAGACTACCCCTCCAATTTCAGAAGGAATGCTTCCATTTAGTTGATTGTCACTCAAGTCAACAACAGATGCTGTCTTTAATTTACCTATACTTGCTGGAATAGAACCCAGGAGATGGTTCCCAGACATATTCAAGAACTGCAAGCTACTAAGAACCCCAATGTCGGATGGAAGCACATCAGAAAATTCATTGGAAGACAAATCCAAGACCTGAAGACCCCCATTAGAGGCTTCCATTGATGTCAATGAACTATATTCAGCACTTCCACTTAATCGGTTGCCAGAAAGAGAAACACTTTGTATACGAAGCTTAAAAATCCATGAAGGAAGTTTACCTGCCAACAGATTATGGCTAACATCTATAGCTAAAAGTTTGATGCAATTAGTCAATGACTCTGGCAAGCTTCCAGTAAATTCATTCCTAGATAAATTTAACTTTTCAAGTAGCTCCAGATTTCCAAATGAGCTTGGAATTCCCCCAGAAAAATTATTACCAGAGATATCTAACATCTCAAGGCTCCTCAAATCACCAAACCAATTTGGAATTTGACCAGCAAAAGAATTCCCCTGTAAACTCAGAGAACTGCATGAACTAAGTCTCTGAATTGACTCCGGAATGCTCCCAGAAAAGAAATTTTCACTAAAATCAAGCAAC